TTATATTCGGGCAACGTGAGCTTTCAGAAGGAATGTAACATTAAATGGTTTCCGTCGGTCATACACGTGAAAGTTACTTGTAGAGAGCGCTTGCTTAACAAGATGTTTGATTTTTTTATTCTCCATAAGAGCCAGGGTGGGTATGGGTGTGCGGGTGTGGGGTATGGGTGTGGGTGTGGGTCAATAAATGGAAAGTAAGCACTCACACCCACACACCCTCAAGGAGCACAACATCTGGCTGATGCATTACAAAATAACACTGTGACTTTCATTTTCTCTTTATCTCTCTCATATATTTATCTGTACTTTTTTCACATAGACACTCACGATACTAGATCTCCGAGACAATCACATCGAAGTTCTCAGAGCACAGCATCTAGCCGATGCATTACGAAATAACACGGTGATCATCATTCTCTCTTTATCTCTCTTGTATTCTCATCTGCACTTTTTTCACATAGACACTCACGATACTAGATCTCTCTTGGAATGAAATCGGAGACACAGGAACGCAATATCTAGCTGATGCATTACGAAATAACACGGTGATCATCATTCTCTCTTTCTCTCTCTTATATTCTCATCTGCAATTTTTCACATAGACACTCACTAAACTAGATCTCAGTTGCAATCCAATCGAAGACAAAGGAGCACAACATCTGACTGATGGATTACAAAATAACATTGAGATCTTCATTCTCTCTTCATCTCTCTCATACCCCATGTGCACTTTTTCGTACAGACACTCACCACATTATATATCTACTACACTCAAATCGGTTGCAACCTTGCAGCTCGTTTGAACGATTTGATTGAACGAAATAATCGACGAAAAAGATTGTGAAAATTGGCTTATAATGATGATCTTAATGGAGAACTCAAGTTTTTCGTTGAATTTGGACATTGCTTTTCTTTTCATATTGTTTGTGTGGACAGGACCATAAAATCTTTGATTTTCTGTATGATGTGCTTCATTTTCTTATCTATATATGTAATGTTTAGTGTGTGTGTATGTACCTGTGCCGGGCCAAAGGACAACTATCAAATCAAGTATACTAGGTTTCTGGAAAGTTCTAGAAATATGAATTCTTCGAAAACGTTCTAGAATTTTCTAGACTCTCTTAAAATCCTCTCGAACTTGTTGAAAAATTCTAGAAAATTCCATAACTCTGAGTGAAGTTACTTCAAGTGTGGTCAAAGCTCAGAGTATGATTGGGTGTAGGAGCAGTAGAGTGAGAGTGGATGGGTTGGGTCTGATGTAGGGTGTGGAGTAAAGGTATAGAAGTGAGAAGAATGTGCTATGGGGGAAAAGTGACGAAACTAAGAAGACCAATTTAAGAATTTTGTCCATCCGAAATTGCGATGTTTTACATGGGAATTCTGGATAGACGGACGAATATTACGTAGTCAATTGAGCCTACCCAAGCCTAATGGGCTACGTCGCTTCTGGTGTAGGTTACGAGGTGTGATGGGATGTATTGCCTGTGGGCGTGGTCCTGGGTTATGGTCTGGACTGTGACGGGGTGTTGTGGGGTGTGTGAGGTGAGGAAGTCGGGGATTGAGGAGAATGTAGTGTGGAGGAAGGGAGCTGGAGATGTGTATAATGTGATTGGGTGCTATAGAGTGAGAGTGGATATGCGTACGGTTTGGCGCATGTGTAAGTAAGGTTGTGTTTGTTTTGCATATCATGAAGTAACATCCACAACACACCAAGGTCCAAAACCCTTCCCCCAAGGCTACAACCGCTCACACGCAGCTACTCACCCAAACACTTGCGTGGAGATAGCAGAGGGAAGAACTATAACCACAACCTTGACAGTTTCTTCACTCTCGGAAAACCTTGTTTTAGATGATAAACACAAAGAACCATGCAGTATGCACGGGTTTTCGCGAACTAGTGTCCGTTCAGCGAAAAACATTTCAGCGAAATATTTTTTCTTCAAGAGCTCAAATTATCTTTATACTGTGATGAATCATCATGGAAAGTGCGCCCAAAAGTGACAACCTAGGGTATAGATTTGGGTATAGGTTTGAGTTTTCGTTTCGGTATGGGTACGCTTGTGGATATGGGTGTAGTGTGGGTATCGGTGTTGGTGAGGGTGCGGGTACAGGTGTGGGTGAGTGTGGGTAGATGTGGACGAATACAATAGTCACACTGACACCCACACCCACCTACACCCACAATACTTTCTCATAAGAAGACGCCATCTATTGGATAAGTAACATTTAGACATGATTTTGTTTGTTAAAAATACTTTAGACTAAAGAATTACATTTCTCTTTCTCTCGTATGAATCTTTTGGCTATCAAAATACAAATCGTTTCCAGAAATTTGAAATATTTTTGAGTTTTATTTACACTACAAGGAAAACGAATATATGTGGCATTTTTTCTAATTGAGGGCAATCGAAAATTGAGTATTAATTTTGATTGGTGGAAATGCTCACCAGACAGTTCCCATGCTCTCAAAACCCGCTAAAACACTAAATTATTTTTCTATCGTAGACATGATCATAGGGTCATAGGTGACGTATATGCTCGATTAATTGATTCGAAGAATTTTGTTTTCACATATGGTCTTGTCAGTTAGTATCATACAACATTTAGCTGATTATTTTCTTGTGGTTGAATATGATCATGATGAAGAACGAGGAGGTTGTTCATGTAATAAAATTATTCAACGTTTTCCTGATAAAAATATGCCTGATTATTCATTTAATTCATAGATTATACACTTTTGTCAATCCCAAGGATGAATATTAAGTGCAAAACATGAATTATCAACATTTTTTTTGTTTCAATCTTAACTGATTCAGATAATTTAAGACATTGTTGTGCTTGTTTAACATTTCATTAAACATTTTTACTAACAACAGTAACAACAACAAATACTTTATTAAATAAAACCAATGGATATAGTGATAAAACCGATGATACAACTTTTCTATTACCAAGAACATAAATGTATGCATCGAAATGTCAGATGCTTACGTCAAAATCAAATAGTTTTGAAGCATATCCAGTAAATATAAAAGATAGTAATTCAAAAAAAAAAGAACTATTTTATTCTATTTTAGAATTGTCTTAGTATTATCTATACAATGTCTTTTGAATCATTGTCAGATATTCAAATTGAAATATTTGTTAGGAATATTCCCGGTAGTGTTAATGTTCCACCACTCGGTGAATATGCCCTTCGTTTTTCAATTGATGCTGATGATTGACAGATGATTCAACCACCAGCTAGTCCGACTATATCTTGTACTGGCCTGTCTGTATATAATCTTTTTAAAGAATTAGGTAAATAACTTTCTTATTCTTTTTTCTAATGTACAACGCAGATTAATTAGAATGAAATCAATCGATTTACTCATTAAAACTGTTTTTAATTAAGTTTTAATTTTCCCTATCGTCAACAATAAAATGTATAGTATGAAAGTAGAAGTCTCCATCATCTTCACTTTCATTTCTATTTTCGATATTTCTACTTTAGGTTAAAGTTGAAATTACTCTTTATCCAACATCTTTCAAAAAAGTTGTCTTTTCAATATTTTACTTTTTATATTTAAAATTTTTTTTTCTCTATTTTAATTTTCGACTAAAGCTGAGATTGCCGAATCGTTGAAGTTTCAAAGCTGGATCGAATTCTGACAGTAACACCTCTGCTTGCTGATCATTTGCTTAGAGAACACAAAAATATTTCCATTTTACTTCTGATGTTACAAACCATTAGATTTCATCCACTTTTTCCTGAACTATCATTTTCACTGGTATTTTTCTTGTTTGAAATGACATCAGAAATAGAATGGAAAATTTTGTGTGTTCTCAAAACTAATGATCAGCAGATAGATATTCTACAATTAGAATTCAATCCGGCTTTCAACATACAACAAGTCGGAGAAGCACTCCATGCGATGGAGAAAAGTTTTACTGTTTAATGCTCTACTGTTCTCTAGCAAACAGTCATTTATTGTTTCATATGTCTTGAGAATTCGATATCTCGAGAACACCGAAGTGAGGATATGAATTCTTTTCAGGTTTTTCAAACTTCACCAAGGTCTACTTATTGCCAAATGATAAAGTCTAAACGGCTTGAATACCTAAGTATGTTCTCTCATCAATATTATTACGTAAAAGATTTGAAATAGGCTCATCCGATATACGTGAAAAGCTGTATCTAATGAACATGTGACATTCTCAGACTGCTGAACCATGCCGAAATGGTATCAACTCATACCCGTCCTACGATTAATCTTATGATCCTATGTCATTTTACTCATCATATAAGACAGAAAAAGGTGACATATTCGCTTGAAAAAATATGTTAAACTCATTTTTTCCATTTCAATGGCAAATAAAATTTTATCATCAAAAAGAATCATCTTCATGTGCAATAAACATCAGCAAACGAAATCTCACTGAGAACTCTAGAGATCGTCGAAAAACAATTTCATCTATATTCACGGAAATTCTTTTCATTAATTTATAGTTGAAAGTTTTTTGGAAATATTTTTCGGTGTACTAATTCTAAATATGATGTTTATTTCACATGTAATAATCAAAAAAGATAAAACTACGAATTTTATGCATATTCTTCAAATCATTTCTGTGAATTATATCGCCGAAAAATTTAACATCGATCGTTTAGAGAGTTCTAGGAAATCATGTAAAATAGCAGAAAAAGAAAATTTTCATAATGATTTTGTTTCAATTAATCTGTATTAATCGTTATCTATAGAAAATTTTTATTTTTGTTTTTGTTTAGGGATTGATCATGTTGTCACAATATTTTGTGCTGCACTGTCAAATATAATAATTTTATTCTTCTCAAGAAGCTATTGGAAATTAACTGAAGCTTGTAAAGTTGTGGAATCTCTTTTATTTCTACTTAAATATTAGTAAAAAAAATTCTAATATTTCTTCCAATTATAATCTTATTTATTCATTTTTTAGGTATACATTTATTCCTGTGCTTCCATTCAATCTAATCGAAGTACTCGATGCACCAATTCGTTTTAATCATCAGTATTCATTCCGATCAAAAAATACAAGCATTAGCTAATGTAAGAATTATTTCTTTTTGGAAGTTATTATTCAATTTGAATCTTGTATTTAGTTTGATGGTTTATGGATTGATTTAGATGGTGCAAGTGTTCGTTTAATAGAGAATGTTAAAATAGCTCCAATGCTTGAAAAACCATATAATCGTATTTTATCTTCATTATTTCAGGGAAATATATTTTTAAGAACCCAAAATTAATATGTCACTATATTTCTCTTTCACTGGTCAGCCCAGTCAGACATTCAACGAAAAGTAAGGCGTTTTTACGCGTTAAAAAAAGATTTTTCTGCAGATAAACGTCGTATTTTTGGTTTCATGTCTGACTAGGAGCCAGACGAAAAAGATTTTTGCTTCAGCTCTAGTTCAGCTCTAAGTTCTTCTAGACATTGAAAGTACTTCAAAATGAGCATTGTTCGAAAAAAAATTCTGTCAAAAATACTAACGAGGGAAGCACCCGAAGTGACACCTACCTTTTGGACTCACAGGAAGATCTCGATGAGATTAGAAAAAGTATAAGAGGATTTGATCATTCTGCAATAGAATTTTTCCCATTGATAAGTCTAATAACCTTTAGAATATCCTGGAAGTGTCAGATAAGAACAACACTGCTTTGTTGAGATATTGAAATCTTTAGCAACCTTGATTGTTGCGACATGACTCTGAGCAAAGACTGTTTTCGAAGTTCAATATCTCGAGATAGGAACTTTATTTTGGGCTGAAACTTTGAGGAAGATCTATGAGTGCCCAAAATATTAGAGTAAAATTCCTTTTTTTGGTATGCACATAAAAATAGATCAAAAATTCAGTGAAATGGTCTTACCTTGCCTCCAATGCTCTGTGAGGACGAACTTTTAAAGTTTTTTCTAGCCTCATCAAAACCGTCCTGAACGGTAAATATGAGCTCAAACAACAAGTGTCACTTCGGATGATTTCAGGGAGAAAAAATACAGCGATCTCGCTTTTTCTCTTCTCGTGATCTTTTTCTCATAAAAATGTTCTTCTCGTCTCTATAGGCAAAACTGCAATCTATTGCAGAATTAGTATGAAAAACGAGTAAAATTAAGATACTTATCTTTCATACTCACTGTAACATCTGTCACCATTAACACGAGTTAACTACCTGAATATGTATTGGTGAATTTTACATTTTCATTCTATAGAGATTCCGCTAACAGCTTACATCAGCATTTAAAATCAAATTATTCTTGTTTAATTTAGATTCTTAAACCTGATATTCATGCAGCTAATTTAGTTTTTTCATTAAATAGACGAATGAAATTTAAAAACTGATAATGAAAGTCAAATTGTTGCTGATTATCCAAAATATAAAGATGAATCAAATAAAGAAACAAATTCGTGGTATTTTTATTCGATTATTTTCAGAATTATTTGCTGGTTATCGTTCTTGTTTATGAATTATTCGAATTAATTCTAAACCAATTATTTCATTTCATAAAGTAAATATTTTTTTTGTCTGTGATTATTTCAAATAAAATTTTGATTTTCTTTAAGGCAAGTTTTCTTAGTCATCATCATCATCATCATCATCGATTAGTTAAAGATGAATTCAAGTTACGTATACTTGATTCAATGTTATTTCATAAATTCATTGAAGAACATAATCCACCTTTTCGATGATATGATATTTTTAATGTAGTTTATACATTGATTTATGATCAATTAAAACGTGGAAATGATTCATGTTTAACAGTCGTTTTTCAACATATTAAAGAATTGCCAAAGCAACTTTTATGAAATGTAAATAATTCTCAATTCACACGAACTGGATTATCGAAAACTTGATTTTCGACAGATGTATATCTCTGTATTCAATAAAACGACCGTTTCATTATGCGAAAACTTTTTCGTCTACAGAATTTTACCACACTGGTCACTTTGGTAGAAAAAATTTCGAACTTACTCAATAAATCATTGTGTCAGAGTCAAAACTCGACTATTCTTGATTGCTAATAAACAGTATAATTTATACTTTTCAGTATTTTGCCCATATTACAGTCATTTATTGAGTGAATTTGACTTTTTTTCTACCGAAATGATTGGCATCAAGAAGTTCTACAAATAAAATCGTTTTCTTAGTGAGAGTCTATATTTTTCTGCATCTGAATCTAGGCCTGAAAGGACCGACGGCTCCTATTCGCAAACATTATGTTACTGGTAGATAATATATAATACACTTTAACTGTACTAAGAGCACACCATGTTTTAAAAGAGTTAACCCTCATCATTAGTTTGTTCATGACTATAAAAGTCGTTTCAGACAAGATATCGATCATAAATAGGGAGTTCCGGAACTGGATCCGAAATTTTATTTTCTTTCGAGTCGGGGCCCAAAAAAAAACAATAAATTCGCAGCTCTTTAGTCTTAAGTCTGATGATAAAATCGATCGCAGGATTTTAGGAAAAATCGCGAAAGCTGCTGTCTATCATAGTTTGGAGATCGTATTTTTTTTACTAAACATTTTTCATTCAGGGAAATCCATCATCTCAACAAACTTCTACACAAAAAATATCACAACTTTCACAAGCTAGTTGTTTGCGAGATAATTTATCAGAATTTCCACATTTGGATAAAGAATTAGTTAATGCAGCAATTAACGAAGGAGTTAAAAAGCATCAGAACAGTAGGTATGAATATCTTGAGGGTATGAATAGTTTCATGGAAATTTTTTTGATTTATAGACCGTATTTCGCTCGAGTTAGTTAACTATGTATCGTGAAATTGAGCCCATCAATATATGTACTTAATGGATGAACTGATATTTCACAATTAGCACGACGTTTAGAAGTATTAAAACAATGTGTTAGTTATATTTTTAGTGATAAAATTGGAGAAGCTAAAAAAGTTTGTTTTTATTTTTATTTTTATTTTTTACTTAGAAATAAATTTTCTTATTTCAATAGACAAGTGATGCAGTATTCTGCTCTATTCAATAAAAAGTCATGAAGATGCTCGAATTGCTTTATGTAATGAATCAGCATCATATAAAAAACAAACTAAACCTCAATTAAATAATCAACAATTTGAAATGTTTGCTAATTTACTTAATTATGTACTAGAAGTACGAAATTTTTTTATTTTATATATATTTAAAAATAATTTATTTATTTGTTCTATTTAGGCAAGTTCATCAATTGATAAACATGGTATTGTTTCTATGATGTTCACTTTAGCAACAACATTTCATCAAGTATGTATTTAAACATATCTCTGCTTCGTAGTCGCTTGTGTGTTATTGTAAATGTAACACAAAACTAAAATATTAGCATTAGTGTGCATTGCTCGTTCCACATTTATAATTTTAATTGTGCTATATGCTAATAGTTATGAGAAGAAAGAGTTAGTATTGTATAAACTAGGTATATGACAACTAGGAGTTCAGAGAATCGCGAGTGTCGAATTCTTCTCGCGTGAATTGTAATTATATAATGATTGGTTTTTTTGAAATGAGACTGATGCAGGACGATGATTGTAGTTGCCAAAATGGCTAAAAAACGATTATGTATATTATCATTTAGTAAGCTCAATATTACGACGATATTTCATCCTGTTGCATGCAGTTGCGAACAACCATGATATAATCTATTAATCGAGTATTCGATCATTTACGGTAGGATGAGATATAGACGTAATACTGTACTTACTAAACGGCAAGAAATCTCTTAAAACAATTATGCTTATTTGACCTAGGAAATAATCGAGACAAGAACGATCTAATGCCTACTGTGAACCTAAATATCAGTCTGTTTTTGTAATCAATTAGAACAATTGTAACGTAAATTGTACATTGATTTCTTTTTTTTTCTCTATTTCTTAAGACAAAACTTTGTTATGCCATTGTGTTCCATGCTGTGGAGATATTTTAATATCTTGTGTATCAGAGGACATGGGAGAGAAAATAATCTATAATTCTGATCGCTGATTAAAGGTTTGTGGGATCTCTGAAAAACTTCTCTTATCAGAAATCGGTGTTCTATATTGTCAGAACAAATATTATATAAATTAACGCTTTCGAATTTCTATATATTTTCTTCGGCGACTTGTCATGAATTATTCTATATATGACGGTGCACCGAGGTGCAAATACAGTGTGCTAGTAGTACATGCCAAGCAACTTCACCATTCAACCATCAGGTCTTCCTCGGAAACTTCGATAGTTCCCTCGACTGAATGGAGGATCATACGAAATAAAATGCGTTTGTTTGCTTGCTTGATTGCTTGGGTTCAAAGGTCAAAAAAATATTTATCAGGGGTTAGCTCATTTTAAGACTTTTCGAGGTTCTGATCGAACTTTGCTATAGGTTATCCGTGGTCCGGAATCCGAATCCGAAGGCGCTTTTTTTTGGCCCCACTTTCATTGGTCGGAAACGGGCCAATCAGAAACGAGCTTTTCTATTTTAAGGCTTTTCGGTGTTTTGGTGGAGCTTTGTCAGAGGTTATCAGGGGCCATGAATGCAAATCCATTATCGGTTTTCAAAATTTCAAACTTTGAGTTAAGACAGTTAATGCTAGTTAAGCTTTATTTGGATTAGATAAGGGTAGTTAAGGATAGTTAAGAGCATTTGAGTATAATTGAAACTAATTATAAATTCAGTTGACTGACGTTAGTGGCATATGGAAAGGGTTCAATAAGTGTGTGGGCGTTTGCATGCGATCAAATGCTCCGATATATTCGTGTAACGTCGGGTAAACTATGGATAGAGGCTATGATGTCAACGTTATTGTGAGCGAAGTACATTTTTTCTTAGTTAGTTCTTATTTAATGGAGTTTCTGAATACTGGGATTTTAGCTAAGCAAATATTCCTCTAAGTTTGTTCCGTTCAATAAACTTTTTCTTGCTTTGAGTTTAACAAAACATATTTTGGTTATCAAAGTGTCGTTCCGGTGGTATTTTCTTCTTTGGCTCTTCAGTATTCAGCTGTTTAGCGTATCGTGGTGTCGCTCTACGGTCTGAGAGGATTGGAGCATGGATATAATTCAATCGTGGGAATCGACTGCGAGCTGTTCGCTTAACTAAATCTTAGAACTTCAGAATAGAAAATAGAAAGGTCCAATTCTTTTACAAAATGGTTGTCACTAACAATACTATAGACAGATTTTCGTCTGTGCGTGCGTCGAACAATAATTCTCAAAGTAGAACTACGAAAACGATAACAGATGATTACAAGATTGAATTCAGTCGAGGGTTAAGCAAGTCCTGTCAACGAGCGTTACTTGTTTTTTTCTCGCATACCTTCATCCTTCATATTAGTGAACCAAAAAGAAAACGAAAGACAACTTCTGTTACATTTATTAATTTTGAGCTTTAAGACACAGAAAATAAACAAATCATCTTTTAATTATACCATTGGAAAGATGAACAAAGGAACTTCCTTAAACACTCACTTGATGCGTTTGCGATACTTTAGAGATAAATTCTAGGTCTTAATGAATTAAATATCGTTGTTTAATGTTTTAGTGGACATTATACTAGGCTAATCGAAAATGATCGAGTCAAATTAGATTTGTTGTCATGATTTTAGAATTCGAAGGAAAGTTTTTTATTTTCTGCTAAATTTGAAAACAGCAACTCTTCTTACCAAAGTATAACAAAACAAATGACCGCATTACGAGTTTTTTTCTTTTTATAGAAATTAAGTGAAGGAGCAGCACAATTCATATATACAGAAATTCAACGTCATGTTGTTTGATCAAATATGTAATTTTTGAAAATGTCATTTTAGTTCGATGTTTCAACTTGAAATACGAAATTTATATTTATCACATGAAAATTTTCATCCAAATAATCCTAACACTTTATCAATTATATGTACATTATCAACATCATCAACAGATACAGTTACATATTAAGAATCTGTAAGAGAAAAAAAATGATTTTCTTATTTTTTTAATTTTTTTTTAAAGACAACAAATGAATCATCTGTTGATCATTCATCTCATCACAATGGAACAACAATACATGAAAAAATAGTATTAGAAATCGCTGCAGAACAAATGCGTCTTTATGCACAAAAAAAATATGTGAAGAACAACATTCAATTGAAGAACTTGAAGAACAAACACTTTATGCATTAGTAATTCATTATATTCAATTGATGATCTATATAAAACTTCCATTAGATATTTCATCGTCGACAAATATTTGACATTCAATACATAATCATGGTTCACATATCGTTGATGGTGATGCTGATAGTGTAAAAAGTGATTTTTATCATAGTGCAAATGATCCATTCAAAATTGTTGTTCACACATTGTTTTTGTTTGATTAAAATGAATTTATTTTAGTGTACGAGATGCTAATAAAATATCGACTGTTGGTTCACATGATAATGGGAATGGATTTGATTTAAATAATGATGATCAAGTGACTGATCTTGTTCTTAGTTTTGTAAGAAACTTTGTGAATAAAATTTGTGATGAAAGTGGAGTTAACATAACACATGAAAATAGTCTTCATACAAAACTTTATCGTATGTTTTGTTTATTTCATCTGTTTAATTGATCTTCTTTTGATTATCTCATAGAAACTTCAAATTTAAATTGAAGTAATTGAAAAAGTCTATCATGAAACACGAAAAGTTGCATCAATACCAAAACCATTATTGTCACGTTTTGTGATCATCTCTGAATTATCTGAACAGGAAGAATCAATTGCTTTTCATTCATATTTATTACCAGATGGAAGAAATGAATTTTTTATTGGACAAAATTCTTTATTACTAGCTGAAGGAGCTTTAATTATGACAAATTATCGACTTATTTTTAAAGTTTGTCCAGTTAATCTAGTAAGTATGTCTTAGAAAAAACTTATTTAATCACAATAGCTGTCGGAGCTTCGAATGGGCTAAACCGAATAGAGTTCGTGACAGCCCACAGACCATATATCTTTCGAAGGGAAAAGCATGGAGTGAACTGATACAATCGTACGATGGGAACTGATGAACTACGATCTTTAGCCATGGGTACTGATGGGTTACGATCTTTAGCGATAGTTACAAGTGGATTACTCGCTGTAGTGAGAGGTATCGATAGCCTTCGAGCTTTAGTCATGGGTATCGATGAGCTAAAGATTTCAGCCACTTATGCTAATAGACTATGAGCTTTACCCATAAGCACAAATGGCCTACGAGTTTTAACAATAAGTACCACTGGACTACGAGCTTTAGTCATGCATTGATGATAGCTCACGAAGTAAATTTTGAATGAAACACAAAACTCTTCAGAGGTGTCGCGTATAACCATTGTAAACCTTGTTTTTTTTCAAAAATTTCATTTAGTTCTATACTAGCTCAAACATCTCTCCGGTGATGAACAAGTAAGGATGTAGAGCAGAATTAAAAAACTTCGTTTTTATTTTACAAAATGCTTATTTGATTGTTCGTTCATCCCCAATATCATCATTGATTCGTGAGAAGAAACTTTCCGGTCAATTTCGTCTTGATAATTCAAATATTTGTCTTCATAGTAGTCTTTAATTACGATCAGCAACATTTCAAGTCTGTATTCATTTTTTTTTCAAATAAAAAAATTTTATTCTATGATTTTTTATTTAGTTGATAAAAGTTTTTTTTACATGAAGAAGTTCTTGTTGATGATATCGAAAAAATTTATACAAAACTCGTTGAAAAACGTTATCCTGAATCAGTATTTCAAACTTTTTGTTTCTCAATATATAGTGATTATCATTCTGTTATAATCAAACAAAAAGATGGAATACTTAAGTAAATCACCTATCCTCCACATATTTTTTGATTGATAAATTCTTCTATCTAGAAAATATGGTCGTTATGTATGAAATGTCTCACGTAAGAAAGGTCTTATTCCACCAAAAGATTTATCAACACATCAAACCATGTCATTAAAATCAAATGGAACGAATTCTACAGGTTTTCTTAATACTTTAAATGGTTCGACACGTCATCAACCAAATATCTTAATTCGAACACTTGAACCAGTACGACGTAGTTTAACATTAGCAAATACTCGTTCACCAAAATCTTTGTCTTAACATAACAATGAACGATTATTAACTGAAGGTCCAACAATAACAACACTATCGACAATATATGAATGTGATGAACGAATTGTGAGAAATAATAATGATGATGAAGATGAAGATAAATCATCGAGTAAAATTTTCTTTGATTTATTATATTTAGTTTGAATTAAAATTTTATTTAGCTGCAGTTAATGAATCAAATAATTACAGAATAATATCAAATGAAACAAAGAGTCTTGAACGTTTAATAGTAGTTTTTTTTATAAAGATTTTGTTCGACAAAGTCTTATTGTAACAGTATTTTCATCATCACGTCCATCAATATATACAACAACGGTTACATCAATTACATAAACTATTTCATTACTTATTTTATCAAATATAAATGAGAATAATTCGATTATTAATGCACAACAATTAATTAATTCAACTAATAGTAATAATAATGGCATGAATACAGTAGGAGGAAGATGAACGAATACAATGTGAATAATGAATACATTAATGGCTACTACTAAGAATGCTTTTCGTATCTCACATATTATTGGAAATTTTGATTTTTGTAGAAGAGAAATTTAAAATGTGGCTAGGTTATCAATTCAAACTCAGGAGAAAACAGTTCACGTCATAAAAAAGAAGAATACTTTGCTTCACAGAAATAGTTTCGAAAGCTTGATACTCAGCAATAGCTGTAACTATGGATGGCTGGCCGTTCTGACTCACATCTCTTATATTCAAACATTTGAGCTTCCCATACGTTAGCAAACCGAAAGGATCGGTATACTCCTCTTCTCTACTCTTTCATTTTGTTTACGTAGGTTTGATCAAAATAGTTGATACACGATTCGAAACAGAATAGAAGATTTTATTTTCTGATAAGAATATTTTATTTAAACACCTTCGTATTATAAAAAATGGAGATCGACATTTTGTGACATTACTTTTGCTTTGTATAGTATATTATTTTTGTTTCATAATAATCAATTTATTTAATCTAAATCTCGAATATTATTGAAGAACCTCAACCACAATCAAAGTGTCAACGAAGTTTATGGGTAATTGCTCAACTTCATTTATCGGTGTGTGTTCATTTGAAAAATGATTTTTCATATGATAAGTATTTTTGGGCCATTTGAATCAAAATTTATTCGTCCACAATTATCCGATATTATTAACAAGGAGTAAATATTATATTTCTTCTGTATAAATTAAAAATTCGATTTGTTTTTTCTTCAGTTCAACAGATAATATAATTCTTTCAACAAATTCACAAGATGATCAATCAGTTTTTCTCGATGAAGGTTGATTTTTTTTTGCACTGTAATAAAATTTCTTTAATTTTATTTTTCATAGATCATGATCCAATAACAACAAATATCGATAATATTAATGGAAAAACAAATTCATCTTTTACTGAAAATCATGATCATGAATGTTTAAAAGTAAATTCAATAATTGATGATAACATTTCAACATATCAAGTTCAACGAAGAAAAAGTGTTTCATCTCGTTTTCGATCTGAACAAGAAATAGATGAACTATTTTTGATGAAAATTTATTCTTAAGAATGAATGGATACATTATCATCATCAGTAAATACGATACAAGGAGATATTTTTATATCATCTCGAACAAATAAAAATAGACGATCATAAACAATGAATACTGTGGAACCAAAAACAGCACCATCAAAAAACTAAAACAACACAAAAGATTCATCGTAAGATCGAGTAAAGAAAAGGACCCAGAAGTGCATAGGTCTAGATAAAACTGGATTATGTGTAAAGATAAATAAATATACATCTGCAAAATTGTTTTTCTTTCAGTTCCGATCTTAAAAACGTTTCTTAGAATTCTTGGTTCTTTAATGTATGCAAAATATAAATGAATGATCTTGAATTGCTGCTATTCCAACTGTTAGCGATGATCTGCAGAACAAGGAAGATTTTTTTAAATGTAACTCTGTTAGTATTTTTTGCAAGACTGAGCCTGAATTTATGTATCCATTTCTTTTTCTAACAGTCTTCAGTTTCTTCAAATATTGACAAGTAAAATAGCAAAACCTAAGAGTTTACACTATGAATAGCAAAAGAATATCTAAATGAAAGAATCGCTAAAACTCTATCGAATCAAGCTTAAAAATATTAATAAATATCAAAATTTACTGCCTAAATTGAACTAATTTGTTACTCTTTTATAACGGGTGGGCCAGAATAAATTGCACTAAATGTTTTTGCTGTTTTTCGTTCATTTCCTGATCAGAAATATATTCATTTTTATATTAAAAGATATAGAATTTCAAGCTCTTCAAAACTATCTACTTTGTTTTTCAAATACGTTTTTCTTGTCCGCATCTAATTAAAAAGATTTACATCTACTCAATCATTCAACTGAGATTTACTGTTTTCTGATGACATTAATTGATTAGTGCAAACTTTTGTTCATCAAGGCCAATGTTAAATATAAAGTATTTAACACCTATAGATAGAGAATTTTGTAGTCTATCCTTCCGTGACTTTTTCAAGGTTCCTGGTGCTGTTGCTCAGAAGAAAAAGGCTTGGAACTGATACCTGCCGTTATTTTAGAGTGCACTTTGGAGGATAATGTTGTTAAAAACCAAAGGTGCTCTATAAAAGATTGATTCTTATATCATCGGATGTAGAATTCAATTCTGAACAAAATGGTGTAATTGTTACATTGAAATGTGGAAAAACTTACGCTGTTTAGAATTAAAAAAAGAACTATGACCCAAGTATATCAGAAAAGGGCTTTTTCATTGTTTTCACGTATTTTCCTTCGAACCTGTTTCTCTCAAATATTTTCTCTAAAATCCTGAAAGATGCAGAATTTTACGACAATTTTTGCAGCATAGTTTAAATTTTAGCTGAATCATTATTTAAAGAATTTTCATCAGCTGTTTCGTTTTCTTGTCGTCGCAGTTGAATGATTGAGTAGATGTGGATCTTTTTAATTAGGTGCGGCCAAGAAAAACGTATTTGAAAAACAAAGTAGATAGTTTTGTAGAGCTTGAAATTCTCTATCTTTTAATATAAAAATGAATATATTTCTGATCAGGAAATGAACGAAAAACAGCAAAAACATTTAGTGCAATTTATTCTGGCTCATTCGTTAGATCTGAACTCGAAACTTGCACTTAAAACTGTAAACAGAATGTTCCGATTCTAATCCGAGTACTTCTAGACTTGAACCTGACGGGCTTCACCGCCTGGACTGAAACCAGAACAACTTTGTAGATCCCTATAGATAAGTTGCAATATAATTTCAGCTAAAACTGACGAACGTTAGTCCATCAAATTTAATGTTTAAGGCGCAATACAATGTCACGAAAGAATGTTTTCGAGTTGTATGGAAAAATCTCCCATACTATGACTACATTAAATGTTATTTAATTTATCCTATTTCAATAAACATACACACAACTTACGAAAAAAATCTATATCATTTTAGGTAATCGAACTCAATCTGAGGATCCTTTTTGTTCATCAACTCTTCCTCTTATCAATGTTGCTGGAGACACAATATGATCACCATCACCTCATTCTCATTTACCATCATATACAGCATATACATCAAGTTCAATAAATAAACTTCGAGAAGGTAGAACAACAACAACAACATCAACAACACCAACACTGATATCTATTCTCGCTCTATCCAGTTCGACTTCATCATTAACTATAAATTCTCAAACACGTCGTACTCCATTGAATAATTGTTTGAAAAACATGACTAAATCTCGTTCGACTTAAATCTAATTCTTTCAATCACAACAATGCAACAATTGAAAATAACAATATTAAGTCGAGTGACAATCTCTCATGTACTTCGACAGCCACCTAATTCATCAACAGCAACTAATAATCAATCATCAACATCATCAAATACTTCATCACTAACAAAAAAAAGTCAAACAAAAGAAAATGATGAAACAAAACATCATCTTCTTTACCATTACGTCAATTAGATAATACAACAAATGATCTTATGTCAAGATGGGCACATGATTGTTTTATCGAACAGTTGTACTTGATTTAAAATCATTACTTTTACAAGACGTATTATCTACCATCATCATCAAAAATAATGACGAATAAGACAAAATAAGAGTAAAAGAAATATTTAAAAAAAAACAAGTTCTTTTATGTATTTGTTTATTGATTTAGTGATTCAATCATAAATGATCATCATATGCCACTCATTAATCGTTTTGTTGGTGATCTACATAAACGTTTTAATGGTTTAGAAAATCTTTATTCAATAGTAAACAATTTTACTTGGTACTGTTTTCTTTATCATTTTATTTTTTTGTGAGGGTTCGACAAAGTTCAAATACTCGAAATATGATGTTAAAGCAATACATTGAACAAATATTGAGAGATTTTTATGTTTGTCGTACAAACAATCCTCATCATCATCATCATCAACAGCAGACAGATAAAGAATGCGTAACAAATACAATTATTGTTGTTATGACTGATTGATATCTTTCGTTTTTAGTTTTAGTTTTCCATGTTCGATTCTTTAAGAATTCAGTGACGTGTTTTTGTTTTACGTTCTCGATTATCTTCTCCAGAGATTGTCACTCTATGCAGATCCTTGTATATTTCTCCGTTTCTAAGTTGTTTGTTTTTTCTCTCTCTTCATATCGAGAGTCACGTATGATTGTAAATACAGTTGTTCATATTTTTTTCTTTATTTTTTTAAGTATATATATGACACATACAATGCTTTAGGGCTTTCAGTGTCTTATGTATATAGTTCTTTCTTTCTTTTTGCTAATGTCACTAACTGAACCGATCAAGGTTCCCAATTGTTTTTCGTAGCGAGAGAGAAAGAGGATTAAATTCGGCAGAAGGTATCTTGAATGTTTGTAACATTATAGTCAGTACTTCATTGGCTATTTATACCAGTATTTTATATGATTAATATAAAAATTTGAATGCCAAATAAACTAGTCTAAATATGAACAGATAAAGAAGGAGTGACATGATCGAATTAGATAGTTGATTTATGACTTTAAATAATCTATTCACTAAAGGAACTATTGCGTAAAATAGAATGAACAATTTTTTGTCAAACACCGTAGAATTTGATGCGATACCCAGCTCGTCCTATAAAACAATTTCTTCGCCCCGTCTCATCCCATTGAAAGCCTATAACGAATTATCAACTAATGAAGTAGACGCTACGATTTTACCAAAGAATTTTCATCGGTTATTACATATGTATTTCAATAAATGAATGATTTCTTTATTGTATCGATGATTATTACGGCTCAGATTTATATGAAACAACACAATCATGATAAATATTTATTTAATTATTCTTCTTCAGTATATAACACTTCAATTTCTAGTATTGATTTTTTTTCAAACTTGATCGGCATGCATACAGTAACAATTCTCCACTTGATTCTCTTTTAGAAAATATTTACAAACAATCATCAACATTAATTACACTTGGACATCGAATATGTAAAATCAAACCATTTAATTTTATTCAGTTACAACATTATTTAGATATTCAATTCCATAACACTTGAATGAAATGATCAGTTTGATTTTCAATAAACTCGATCAACTTATTATTTAACTTCTTTAGAATGAACAAAGTACAATTCAAGAAATTATTTGAATGTAAGTATATCAATCAATTCATGCTTTTTTAAAATTTTCTATTATTTCATTCAGAATGTTCTTTGTTTACATAAGGAATCAACTTATAAACTTCTTCAAGCAGTTGAGCAAATGTATGAAGTTATTTCAATACATGAACATCACTCTGATAATTTACGAAAATTTGTTGTTCTTATTCGATCAAATCTCAATTAAGACTATGAAGTGCTTGATAATTAAGAGGAACAAGATAAACTTGAAGAAATAATTTATTGAACGAAAAAAAACTAATCAACAAGATGAAAAAAGAAAAAAAAGAAACATCAAGATGAAACAAGAAAAAAAAGAATCATCAACGTGAAAACAGAAATATAGCAGAAAGAAGAAAGAAGAAAGAAGAAATTCTTCTTTCTTCTTTATGAGGAAGAAGAAAGAACTATCACGACAACGAAAAAAAAATCATTGAAATGAAAGTAAAAAAAGAAAAAGAAAAAGAAGAAAAAACAGAAGAAAAAAACAAAAAGAAGAAAACTGGAAGATTATTAAGAATTTTCTTATGTGTCACGACGAGTATTCATTGTTCTTAGTTCATCTAATATATTCAATAACATGTTATTTTGATTATTAATTAAATTTTTAATTAAATTATTATTTTCTATTAAATTTTGGATTAAATCATTAATATTATTGTTAATATTTACACTATATGCATTATTATTTACGTTATTATTATTATTATTGGTGTTATTATTACTATTATTTATTGGTGGTGATGATGTTTGTGGATGTTGTTGCTAAAAAAATTTTAAGTTTATTACTTATATAAAAACACTGATCAGTGTAACACATATATATTCTTCTATACTAATACAAACTACGAGGAGTGAGTAATTTCTAGCATACGATAGTTCTATTCTACAGATAATCGCTCTCCAAGCAGTCGATGTCCTACTTATTTCTATATTTAAATAGAAAAACTTTTTGAATTCGTTTACGGCTGCTATATTTTCATTTTCCTTGATGCTGTGGGATCATTATTTATTTCCTTTTTGATTTTGTTTCCTTAATTTACTATTAGAATATTTATCCAATCATTGATTTAACTAACAAATTATCTTGGTACACACAGCTGCTCAACTCTGCAACAGACGTCGATGCACTATAATGTATTATCCATGTTTTAAATATATATACCATCACCTGCTCAATCAAAAGATGAACATTTCGAACAAAAATTAACAGCCGAATTATCATTCAAGAATGATATTGAAATCTGGTGAATTATATAAGTACTTGATAATATGCAGTCAAAATACTTATTAACAATCGAATCAAACTACTAGTTCTAAACAGGTCATCAACAAGAACTCTCATGTATACAATTAATTGCGCATCGTCTTTTTCCTCTCTCAGTTAAATGCGAAGAGACTGAATAGCTCTTTTCTGCTGCAGTTAAGTATTTATTTATCGTTGTTAGTCTTTTCATCGTAATGCTGTAGAGAGGATTTTTGTCTGTCAGATTAACTCAAAATGTTCTTAAATGAAAATCAGAGTTTTTCTCAATCTCATGTAAAAAGACTAGGAGAACAATCAGATGAGAATTGATTATAATTATACTTCTTTACTTGATTTTTCATCGATTATAAACAAAAATAATCCAAAAACCTAAGTTTCATCGAATATTCCAGTTACGTTCGATCATAATCGACAAAAAGATTATACGAGAAATTGATGATAATCAATACAAGTCGAATAGAATCTGTTAAAGATTCTTCCATTAATTATGAGAGAAAATCGATTCAAATCATTATCTTTTACACAACTTTAAAATCAATTATAATCGAAAGTAATAAGAATTATCAATAAAACTTGGCTCTTTTTTAGTTATAATCGATTCCTAATGGATAAAAAAATATGAATAAAAGTGTGATTTTAACCAATCTTTAATCAATTTTCACCTGATTATTAGGGTAGTTTTTTTTATGTGGGATATTATCGTCTTTGTATTTCATCAGTTTTCCTATTTGTTTTGGGTAACTAATTATTCTCTCGTAAATTGTTAAATGATGATTCTTACATCTAGCATAATTATTGACGGTGGTGATACATCTGCAGCTGATGTTGTTGTTGCTGCACCTGATCTTGCTGTTACTGCTGATATTGCTGCTGCTACTTTTCTATAGAAAATGACGTTAAAAGTTTCAACTAGAATTAGTAATTATGTATTTTAAAGATTCTTTTAGAAACTACAATTATCTAATTTTTTTTCAGATACTATTCTATTCTGTGTGTAAGCGAGAAATTTTTAAAAAACTTTATAAAAAAGAACAACAAAAAATTAACACTTGACACTAGATTCGAACCAGTATGGCATTACCCACGGTTGTAGCCATTCGACTATATGCGAAGTATTAGTTTTCTTGTCTTTCTCCATGTTATACATCTTATCTATCAAATTTCTTTTTAATCAATTGAAGATATTATCTTTTCTTACTTAAGCTCTTCAATTTCTTGTTTCACCAGCTGGACGTGATGAATACGCCGCTCGCGAGTTGTTCGGGTGATCTTGTTTGCTGGATTTTTTATGTATTTATTATTTTTAGCCATCTGAAATTTTTATTAATTAAATTATTTATGTCCAGTACCTATTCGAAAAAATGCAAAAGATAATAAAAAAAACATTCATTTTAGAAAAGTGAACTTATGCAATAGTCGACCATGGTGATATAGTTTCATTCATTGTCATTTTTAATTTCTATCTCTCTGTTTTCTCTGGACGTCCATCAATTTCTCGCATGCTGTCTATGATGATATGTGAAAGTAATAGACAGCATTGCACGTGATCACTGAATCGATTTGTTCTCGTCAGCTTATTGAAATTTAAATGTTTCCTTTTTTTTCACATTCTCTCTAACATATTACATTAAACATTTTCTATCGTCGACATGAATTAACAATAAACAACAATTGCTATTCGATATACACATATAAATGAGAGGTGTAAATCTTATAATACACGATTCGACATAGACCCAATAACATCTCTCAATAACTTGTTGTTTTGACTTTTATCGAGAGCAAGAAAGATTTCTCAATTAGCTATATCCGTATTAAATCATGAATGAAAAAAACTTGAATTAAATTGGTCATAATTCTGCATATATGATATAACAAAAGATCGTTCGACAACTTCGTTATTATCGATGACATTGTAGATAAAATGATATTGATATATTATTGAATTCAGAAAGACATAAATTATTAACTTGAACTATACGAAATATCATAATACATACTTTATCTTGTCAAAAGACTCATTTGAAATAGTCATAACTAATTTGATGATATTCAGATGATTTTTTTTATTGCCAAAAAAATCAAAAATACAATATATAATGAAAAAACAAAATTATGTTTTTAACACTTCAATTGCCTTGATCTGAATATGGAACAAATTTTATTTTCTTTAAAAAATCTGCATAAAGCTTTCCGAGTATGTACAATAAAACATTGGAAGAATTCAAATGCAGTTTAACACATTGGACCAATTGTATAAACCCTTTTTAATCAATTTTTGAGTAAGAAAAACAGCAACATCAAAATCAGTCAAATAAAGATTTTATTCATTTTTTAATATGAAAATATTTGAATGATTTTATATCACAATCAACAATTGTCATGTGAGTATTATTTTGTTCAAAATATAAATCAGATATTAATGAAGTAATAGAATGAAGAAATTTTAAACATTGATTAACTGATAATGTTCAATTGAATATATATGTAAATATGATTGAAATGTATTATTTTTATAGTAGAACAATACAAGATATAAATGCAAACTGTATTGACTTTTACAAAGAATTCTAAAAGAACTATAGATGAAAGAACATGATATGATTTGATAGAAGATATTGTCTTCGAGTCGATAAAAATTATGGTCAGTCTTATTAATCTTAATTCAGCTAATACTGTATTAGATAAATTTGTAAAGCAAATAATGTTCTATCTATAATGATAATAAAATTTGATGTTTTGTTTTATTTGTTTACAATCTGGTATTGATATACTTCATTGAACTTGAATTTCTTTTTAATTAATATTATCATCATTTAATGTATATGTTTGTAATTCATTTGTTATTTCTAATGAATCTGAACTTTTATTGAACATGCACTTGATGAGCATTTAGTAAGTTTATTTGGTGATGATGCTCATATATCTTATAAAAGTAAAGGTTTTAAACCAAGTATAACTGTTCGATAAAAACAATCTTGTGCCCATTTGGGTATATTATCTAATTGGCGTAACGATAAAGAAGATAATGTTTTGTTTCATCATTCTCTTTTGTTCTGATTATTTTTTATTAATGATAAAGTATTTGATAATGTTGATGATTGATTATTAGTTGTTAGTAAATTAGATAGACATCGAAGCACACGAGACATTTACACTTGACGTAATGTTGTTGTTTTCGATTGTTACATTCTAGTAATTGGAAGAATAAGATTACGAATTGAACGAAATATAATTATGTTTTTACAATGATTATTCAATGGAGCATGACGTGTTTGAGGATTTATAGATAATGATAAAGTCGAACAGGATAGAACGAAAATAGGTATTGGTGGGAATGTTATTGATGTTGTTGTTATTGTACTTTTTTGAAGTTAGTTTATTGAACTTAATGTATGTGCTGTATATGATGGTAAATAAGAATGAGTGATGATAATGATGATGATGATGATGTTGTTGTATCTCCAGTAACGTTACTAAGAGAAAGAGTTGATGAACGAAAACGATCCTCAGATTGAGGGTGTGGGTGTGGGTGGGTGTGGGTGGGTGTGGCTATGGCTGTGGATGTGGTTATAGATAAAGAAAACAGCAAAACCCGTACCCACCCACACCCACACCCTCAATATATACTTGTCAAAGCCAATCGTTTGATTTCAGGTTTTCTAGTGAAGAATTCAAAAGAAAAATCTATTCTCTGGATATATAAAACTACAGGAGTAAGCCGATGCAATGATCGACGACGAAATTTATTCTAATTGTTTTTCCTTTGTAAGCGACGATGACTACGAAAATCTGAGGCTTCAGCGATAGTGCTAGAAATTTTCAAGAACTTTTTAAACACTCTAAAAACTCTTTGATGAAAGTATAAAATATTCTTTTGATGGATCCTTTTCAAGCTACTCCAAGTCATTTTAATCCAAACTTTGAATAGAATCAAGTGACTGAGAGTGGGTATATCGAATAAATATTTGATTCTGTTATCATCAAGTTCTTAAAGAAAATGGCTTAACATTGGATATCATGATTGGATAGATCGAAGCTCTATCAATTAATGATCTCTTCAAGTTAAATGGTATTTAAAATGAAGTGGAATGCCACCTATGCTAATAGTTCTCAAATAAGATAAAAATAAAATGATGATATAGAACTGATTGACAGCAAACTAGGCAACCCATGTGAAAAAAAATTCTTATTTTAAATTAAATTATTCGATTTATAATCGACATAAAACATGATGATGACGATAAAACACATTTCTCTGAAGTTTTATTGTGGAAACATAAACTTTTGTATAGCTGGCTGGACTATATGTACATGGCTCAAAAAACGCTAGTTTCTGCATTAAATTCAGCTCCCGTTCACGTGTCACATTTCGAGAGTCGGTATCATTTGATGCCTACTCAGGTAAAAAAAGATTACTAAATTGATTAAAATCAATTATCTTTTTTTATTGCATAAGTTAGAATACAATTTTCAGCTTGAAAGAGAGATTTAATTTAAATTGAATCGTCTTTTAATTAAAACTTCGATTAAAATCGGACTTTTCACCCATTTTCTTACATGGAAAAGGTGACAAGAGAACAATCATTACTGTCATAGACGAGGAAAATAAAGTATGCATAGTGATGTAAATGAAACAGAAGGGTTTGAGTTTTCATGCAATATAGACAAAAACAGATTTGCATCAGAAAACAGAAGAAAATTGCGAAAAAGTCGCTAAAGTAATAGTAGCTCAATAGAGGGTGTGGGTATGGGTTTATACTTCTTCTTATCCTCACTCATCCACCCACACCCGTGTAAGTATAACATCACCTAACAAGTCGTCGATATCCACCTGAAAGACAACCAATCAGAAGCTATTTGATCAATTACTATGAAACAATGACTCATGACTGTAGATAATTTGAGCAGCGAACTTCCGATTTCTATCGATCTAGTTTCTGTATGAGAACTCGAAATGCAGAAATTATTTATTTATTTTCTATTAATCATAAAAAACAAAACAGCGTGCTTCAATGCTAATCTGTTGGGCATCGGTTGCAGGTACGTGATCGTTGATAAATCCTGTGTGAGCGCAAAACTTGGCAACATTTGGGTCACTATCGAACATTCTGAAGACAAACATCTCGTCCGATCGCATTTCACTCAAATAGTACCATTTTTGAGCAACTTGAGCATTGTGGGAGACTACATAGTACGAAAGAGTAACCTTGGATTCTCGAACCTCTGATAGATGAATATTCTTCTCGATATCTAATGAACGATAGTCGCAAAGAGCCAGAGGATTCTTTGTGATGACATTAGGCCCAATCGGTCTCCAGATATTGATCAGTTGAAATCGATTCTGCATCAATTTTTCCGCTTCGTCTTCCCCAAAAACTTCTTTCATTTTCAAGCGAACACCAGGCGCATCAAAATCCACGTGTGGATAAACAGCAGGATGCTTGTGATTCGAATCGCATTGATCGATCGGACGTGATGGACCTCGATACCGGAATATATGATTGAAGACGACCACTCGAGAGGCACCGAGACGTTTTTTAAGAAATGCAGCAAGTTCTTCGTAGTAAGATCGCTGTGCCTCGCTATCTTTGTTGAATTCATCTTGTATGTGACCATCGTATTTGTGTACTTCAAAGGCATGCGTGTCAAGATCGAAACTATTTTCTTTGCTCCTTAGGTCGTGTATGGTAACGCGAGTTGGTGTATATACGTAATTCGAGTGTGGCCAAACCATCGTGTAACTCGCATTGACCCATGGAGAGAAGCCGTCGGTTGTATCGCTGAAAAAATTCAGTTCTCCAATTATATCGCCACTCATCAACGTGTCTAGTAAATTGAAATTTGGCAAAATAAATACGCGCAGCAAAGATGCTTCTGAGTGAAAAAAGTGTTTCTCTCCTTCACTCTTTCTTTCTGTTCTTCATTTTTGAATACTCATATACTATAGCAGATAAGTACTCATTCGAGGTATAAACGTTGTCATCTTCTCTCACATCATTTGGTTGTGAGAAAAAAAAATGCAATTTATCTTATCATGCGATAAAACAAAACATTTTCAATTATAAGTAGATTACGCAGTTGCAAAACGCATCGTGCACTTTTGGTTTTATGTTTGCTCCATTTTCACTCGATCCAGCGAAACAAACTGAATGACCTTCATTTTGCCAATATTTTTTTCCTTTTTTCTACCAATTTAAAATCAAGTTTGATCGATGGCTTTTTCTAAGTTTGAATTAGAAAACTGCGGTGACCTTTTGCTGGTCCCAGTTCTAAGGTTCTGTAACAATGAAAACTGTTCGAAAAACTTCAATTTTTCTTTTCTCATAAGCGCATGTGTTCCGTTTCGAGTGCTGAATGACTTCACTTGCGTTGCAACGATTCAGTCTGTAGCTACAAGGGCTAATTTACCGATTGAGCTCCAAGTTATAGATATTAGGACAAAAATTAGTTATTTTCCGGAACTAACAGTATTTAGAGGATGTGGGTATCGGTGTTGATGCGGGATTGGGTTTGGCATGTGTGTGTGGTTGCTGGTATGGGCTGAGTCTATTCTTCACAGCCACACCCCATACGCACAACCTTTCAGTTGTACATTGGATTACGTCTTAAGCTTAGCTCGTGACTCGTCGAAAATACTTTCTAGAAGGTGAAAACTTTCCGATTGCCCGTTATGTATTAACATCTTTACAAAGCTTTAATATACAAACAGTAAAAATAAAGTTTATAGTTGAAAACAATATATCAATTTGCTTTCTTAGAATTAATTCTTTTTTTTTGTTGCATTAAATACTAATCATATATAAATAATGATATCATTGTGTGGTGAAAGAACGCACTATAAAAAAATTCTAATGAAAGAAACGAGTCAAAAAATAACAAACAAAATTGGAGTTCATCGAAAAAAGAATGTCGACGATAGAGATGTTTATCAAGACGTTGTCGTTGCAGCAACATGGAAGTTTTTCTTGTCTATCGTTGCAATTCATTCGAAATGAACAGATATATATATATATGTTAAAAAAATCAAAAACAATCACACCTGGCAATAGTTATATAAACAACTGTCTATCAAGTGATCGTCTTTCTCATGTTATTGAACCAAACCAAAAAATAAGCTAATCTTGTGTATATTCTTAATTTTCACTTGCAAAAAAAGTATTTTGATTTTATAATAAATTCATCATCTTTCTCATCACACATTCAAAAATTCTTCTTTCACTTGTGAGAAATATTTTGTCTTTTCATGATACAATTAATAAAATAGACATGTACTTTTCTTTGTATATATCTATTAACTATTCAATAAACATAATAACCTGTTTTGAACAAGTTAAATACATATAGTTTCATTTTTCTTCAGTGAAGTTCCAGCGTTTAGTTCTATTCAGTTCCCAAAAGCACGCACCTCCCATTCAAGGCGACTTTGAGACTAGAGGAAAAATTAATTCTAATTGGACCCATTGTAATTCAAAATTTTCTTCTCTTCGAAATACTGTATATTTTTCATAATCAATTCTAGTCACGGTTAGTCACAGTTTTCTCTATTGTAACTAATTTTTTCTTTTGTCACAATTCAATGATCACACCAGGCTTAACTCTGAAAATACCTGACTATATAAAAACCAATAAAACCAAATTGAATCGCCAGTTAATTAATGGTTTCTGAAAGAAGTTTATATCAATCTTAAAATCAGATAAGCAACCTATATATATATATTTAATTTCTGTTATTCAGAGCCGTAATCGATTCTTACAAATAATGAATTGAATAGTTTAAAAATAAAGAACTCTTATAATAATAACTATAATTTGTTTCTTCAGATATGTAGATTGAATATTGCAGATCTAGTAGCGTAACCAAGAGTAGGCTGGACCAGGTATTGCCCCTTCACCATAAGAAAAAAAAACGTAATAATTACTATCATTGACAGTCCTCCCTCAAGGGATCGTCGGACATTGCTTTACCACCCATGATCTCCTGATTTCACCACTATGTAAATCTATTCATTGATTATGGTATTGCAGAGAAAAGCTGTATGTCTATCAGTGACATCTATTTATGATAAATACAATTCGATAAGTGTTAATCTTCTTATTGATTGGTTCATGTCAGCCGTAAGTTTCTTTACACATTCCAGATAGTTTCATTTATTCTTTATTCTGTTCACGTTAAGAATTCTACTTAATTATCTAGAAAATTTCTAGTTAATATGCCTAAATATTATTGTGATTATTGCGATACATATTTAACACATGATTCACCATCTGTACGTAAAACTCATTGTCAAGGAAGAAAACATAAAGAAAATGTACGTGATTATTATCAAAAATGGATGGAAGAACAAGCTCAAAAATTGGTTTGCTTATTTTAATTTATTTTTTTTTGTTTTTTTTCTTCTATTTTAATTTTTCTTAGATTGATCAAACAACAGCTGCTTTTAAATCGGGTAAAATGCCGAATACACCATTTCCAATGCCACCACGTCTTATTAATCCAAATATTGCACCACCACGACCAGGCATGCCAGGTATTGTACCACCACCACCATGGGCATTTGCATTACCACCAGGCATGCGACCATTAGGCCCACCACCTAATTCAGCTGCAATGACAACATTAATGACGTTACGACCACCACCTGGTATAATGCCACCAGGTGTACCACCACCTACGGCTATTCCGAATCCATCTATGGAACAATAGTATGATTAACATTTGAGAGTGAATATTACTTTTGTTTTGTATGTACATTTCATCATAACTATGTATGAGTTAATATAGAAAAAAAAAAGATTTCCTCTCATGTGTGTTTTGTTTTAATTTTCAGCTCAAGATGATTTTCTAATTTTGTCATTCATGAAAGGGATCTGAAGATGCATTAAGTTTGGGAAAGTTTTCCTTTTCTTTAAAGATTAAAAGAGTTTTAAGGATAACGCATATACATAAGTATGAAGACTTTTTTGCTTGTTCAAACCTGAACCCGATGGACTCTAGGAAAGATGATGTATTAGGATAGTAAAAGAAAAAATATTGTTGTAGTGTTATTAATAAAGACTTTTTATTTGAATGTTAGAAATAAGGAAAAACTGATTTTTTTTTTTGAGAAAGAAAGTAGTGTCGGTGTGGATTACGAACTGACTCATAACCACACCTACACACTCCACATTTCTATCAATTTTAGTTATTGATGATGTGTTAGAATAAGTTTATGTATACAATATTTGTTTGTTTGTTCAGCCGTGTGTGGGTTAAATTTTTGTCCACCTTCGTGACCAGTTACGTAATCGATCAATAACATTGATTACAAGTGTACACTGTGTAACAGGACATGTATTTCTAGTATAAATTTGAGACTCAAAGACAATAGTTTAAGGCCAGATTGTTTTTCTTTTATTGAAATAAAAGCTCCTACTTCAAAGTGGTTCCTTGAAATGGTCTTAAGCCACTTCTGATTCACTCTGTATAAACAACATTTCAAATCGAAAGCTCGATCATTAATTATTTCGTTTCAGGCTTTTACTCGTCTCACTACAGTCTACTGATAGACAAAGCATCATCTCAACTGAGGCTAGTCATTCGTGAATAGACATAAATAGAAGAAACTGTTTAATATAAAATACAATCGAAAAATATATGCTTAGATTTTGTCAGTTTTCTTTTTGGTTAGATTATATTTTAAAAATCCGATGAGCATATAAACAACAACCGATAGCAGAACACTCACGATAGAAAATAATAAAAAAAAATTTTTTTATCACCCATTGATTTGTTTTATATGATTTTCAATTATTTCAGATATAAAATAAAAACAAAAATAACCTTGAACAGGTAAAGTAAATGAAAAACTAATTGAATATTATTGCTTTTTTAGCATCAAAATAAATCATAGAAAAATGAGCGAAAATGATGACATGGTATCAGTAATAGATGATGGTGGGTTATTATAATGCTTATTAATGTCGTCTGTGCTATTCTAATAACTATTGCTTTTGTTTTGTTGTATAGTTTTTTTTTATAATTCAATTGATTTAAAGAAATTATTTTCTAGAGGAGTCAATGATTAGATATCTTCGAGAAAAGATTATTGGTCGTCCAGCGGTATTTTCTCTAGCCGGCGACCTACCAATAGATGAGTAAGATTTTATCTATTAGTTTTTATGCTTATTTTTGTTTTTACATTGATATATATAGTCATGCGCCTCCTATAAAGAGGGCTAATTCACAAGATGGTTTAAATGATGTTGTATTAATAAGTACAACTTCAAATGATACAACAAATCAGGTATGGTTTTTTTTTAATGAAGTTTTTCTTATATATGTGAAATAATGATAAAAAAAAAATATCCGCTTCTTCTTCTTATGCACAGAAATCACTTGAAATTAATGTCAGGTATATGTAGAAAGCAGCTATAATATTTTACCTCCCATTTTGCATGCTTATATTTATAGAAAAGTTAATTATTTGTTATGAAAAAAATTGATTAGCTCTTTTGAAAAAAAAATGTGTGACAGTTGAGACCCGCGCCGTCAGGTGTGTAACAACTTGTTTTCTTTTTCGTTTCATCTCCTTCGTTGCTTTTTTTTTCCCGTCGTTTCTCATTCTGCTTCGCTTTCTTTTTCGTATTCGCTTGATTTGCTTGTCGCTGCTTTTGTTTCTGTGCTGTCTTTCGTCATTATATTGCATCTATATTTTTCATCTTATCATCGACGTTATCCTCAACTAAAAAGCCTCGTCAAGTTTGTTCTGCTTTTACATTTGTTGAAAAATAAAATTCTAACTGCAACAGAAAGAAAGCCAGAAAACAAACATCAGGAATGTCTCGTGCGAGATTAAGCCCATTGATAAAAGCACAGGTGAAAAGTAGCTTTTTGTTTTTTTCTTCATTTGTAATCATTAAAATATAATTTTTTTTCATGTTTATAATAATAGGTAGAAAAAGTTACTATGACAAATAATCTTATCAATTCTGGACGTCGACCAATACAATCATCATCACCTATTATTATTCCAAAAAAACCTCCTCGTTCGAATGTAAGCATATATTATTTATATTATCTAGTTTTATAAACGTATGCGTGGAAAAGAAACAACAATGCGATGATTAATGTTTTTTTTTGTTTTATTTTTGTTGAATTGATAAATAATTATTTTTCTATTGTCAGACATCATCACAAAGTTCTTCATCGTATACATCAGTTGCTGATCAAATGTCTTCATTTGTTGTAAGAGACATAGAAAAAAAAATAAATAATAAATTTTGAATTTACTTTACGTTTTCTCTCCATAGGAATCATTAATACAAACAGATGATGGTAAAATAAAAGTTACAAAATTAATTTGAATTTTTATTTTATTTTTTTCTTAGTATCAAATTCAACATTTCCAACATTACCTTCAACATGTCAACAATTAGAACATTCAGCAGCACGAGATCGTATTTCAGTGAAAATTAAACGACAACAACCAATTAAACAAAAAGTATAATATAAAGAATTCATTAACTAATGTCATTTCTGACTGTTTTTTTTTTGAATAACTTCCGCTAAGAATAACCTAGAGATGTAGGGTTTTCACTATTCAAGAGAGGAGTACCTGGGACATCTAACTATGTCGAAATTTGATTGGTTAACAACTAACCAATCAGATGAGTTCTCTGCAGATAATTTGAAGCGTTTCTCAATCGACATGACTGTTTGATAGTTTCAAATCGCTTTGAAACTATCATCATTCGACTAATCATTATGAACAAACTCTGTGTTTAGTTCTTCCAAAGGTTTTTTACTTCTATTTTCGACAATCGTGGGGTCTCAGGAAAACTCTTGAATGAATACTGCTAAAAAGTTATGACTTGCATAGAGTTCAAAGTCTCCATAGAGGACTCACCTGGTTGATCAGTTGTTGACCTATTTTGTTCCTATGGAAATACAAAATAATTTCTTTTTTTTCTTTTTAGTTGAGTACACTTCGAGAAACTGATGATAATGAAAGTGATTTATTTTCATCGAAAACTGAAGGTAAGAAAAGAAGAAATTTTAACTGAATATTAACAGGTTGAGGTGTAATATTATGTGGGAAAAGGGAATTAATAAATTTATTTGAATAAAAAAAAAAAAACTATTTGAGACATTTTGAGTATAGATGATGAAATTCCACCACCTTTACCGCCGAAACAGCGTTATTTACTCAAAAATTCATTTTCATTACCGACTACAACAAGGACAAATTCAACGACAAAAACAAAAATGAAAAAGTTAAATAAAAATTTACGTACATTTTCAATTCAATGACATAGAGTTTTGGTTTTCTTTTGTTTTCTTTTTCATGTCTCAAATTTTTATCAATAAATTAAATTTCATATTTTCAGCTATATCATCAACACCGGAAGAGGAACAATCAATCATTGCTACAACACGTATCGAGGTAAATATTAGAAAATTTTCTCTACAAACTAAAGATCAATCCATAATAAGTTTCTCATCGATAAGAATATTTTAGCACGAATATGCATAGAACATGATTCTATATTATATTTCATAGATACGATTTGTTGCTTGTCAATTTAATTGAATTCATATCTAGGCAAATACAAATCGTTTACATGATACTTTCCCCAATCCTATTCACCTAACGACCACATTTTTTGTTTATTTCGAGGAAACTTCACCCTGTAATTGGCGATCCTGATCTCAACAATAATAAGCTAACCATACGAACTCTTTTCAGAATATTCGTAACTTCTTAGAGTGTGATAATCTTCACATATCTATGCTGAGCGAACAAAATCACTTATTCATTCTCTTTTTTCGAATCGCAGTTTGCTAGTTGTTAAGCTTACACACATATGTATTTAATTCTGGTGTGAACATAAATATTTCTAATACATGAAGAAATGGTTATAACTTCTATTATATTTTTATTCTAGCCAAAAAAACCACAACCATTAATTGATCTATCTGATTTGGATTCAGCTCGAGCACGTCTTCGTATATCAGTTCGTTCACGTGATCGTTCAGCTGATAATATACTTTTGGCAACTAATCCTAATCCTAATAATGAAATATCACCTACTCCATCACCAAATATTTCAAAATTTAATAATCCTATGCAACGTTCTGTAAGTTTTAAACGTGTTCAAGAAATTAATGATACAAAATTAATAAATCGATCAATTTTAAAACAAAAAAAACAAGAAAATAATGAAAATATTTTATTAACTAATAAATCTATTGAAAGTAATTCAACATTATTTGATTATTCAATACAAAATGAAAATATTGATGAACAAACAAATATTAATAATTCAAGTCCAACGAAATCAATATCACGTTCATCATCTCAAGAACATATTTATGATAATTTAGATGTATTTAAACGTCCAAAACCAAATATAATTCTATCATCAAATGATGATGAATCATCATCATCATCATCAATAAATATCGTTAAAACAAGAGAACATCCAATATCAACAACACGTTTAAGACCAGTTACAATGCATGTTATATCTAATAATGATAAACAAATAACAAATGAATTTGAAAATGTTTTTAATCAATTAAAAAAACGTGGTTCAATTAGACGAATTCGACCCAATGAAGAAACAATAACTGAATCACTTCCATCATCTGATCCTATTGAAGAAATTCATGTACCTCTATCTCCATCTATAATATCTGAGAATGAATCAACTGTATCAACCAATAAAACAATCGAACCAATCCATACACCACCAACATCAAATCGACGTAAAACAGTTGTTGGTGTTCATCTATCAGCTAATAATAAAGTTGCTACTAATGATAATAAACCAACACCATCATGGATTGATATAGCCAAACAAAAACAAAACAAATTGTAAGTTATTAATTGTTTTTTTTTTCTTCAGGATAATCGAAACAAAAACAAAAACTTATCCATTTTTGTAATCGATAGAGATATTTTCTATTTTGAAAATATTTCACCATAATTGAAGACAAATACAAAAAAAGAAATGTTCCGAAATGAATTTCTTCTTTATCTCTATTTACAATGATTCGAATGTTGATATTACTTCGATCTGTTGATGAATTAGTAGTAAAAACAAAAATTAAGAAATACAATATTAGTTTTACCCATCACACGCATCCAATATTAAGATTATTTCGTGACAGTTTGCGCAAGTCCATGCAACCCGACATACTCAACCAGTTACCTCTATCCCCATAGGCGGGGCGAGAGGGAGCAATTGCCCCCCTAAAAAAATTTTTTTGGCTGGGACTTAAGAAGAATGCCATGAAAACAAGCGTTTTTAAGCGAAAAAGTGTTTATTGCCCCCCCTGAAAATTATGGTCCGGCCCGCCAATGTCTATTCCATTCCAATCGGAAAATCTCACTGAAGTGTATCAATATACGGTTCAGTCGTGTTCCAAAAAAATTATGAATCCGATGAACTCTATTAGAAAAAGAAGTAATCTTCATCCTCCGCTTTCACCTTAATATACGAAAGGACTTATAATTGAAGACTTAAAACAGATGGTACAGGTCACACGCGTCATTAAAATGACAATCATCTAATTCTTTTTTTTTTTCCATTTTTTAAAAGATATCGATTATTATAACCTATCTATTTTTAGTCAATCGGTCTCGAATGAAAAAAAACATCAAGATGAATCTGAACAACAATCAACTATTGAATCACCAGTTCTAATTAGAAAACCGATACCTTCTGCTGATATACGATCGAATCGAAAATCAATGTTTGAACAAACTACAACACAAACTAATGCACATGCTATTGAACGAGTAAATTCAATATTTTATTTATTTATTTATTAAAAAATTATTTTAACTTTTTTTCTTTTTAAGGATTCAATACGAGCATTAAAAGCTGGCAATCCAAATCGTATAAATAATTTAATACAATTTTTTGACAAATAAATTTTCTTTTTTCTTTTATCGTATCTTGTGTTTGTGTCTCCGTCTTGTAACAACAGTGTGCATTTATATATGTGTGTGTGTGTGTGTTTTCATGTACAAAGATAAATCTTTAATTGTTATGCAACGATAAATTCTTTTTTTTTTTCTTTATTAATATAAATATATATATTAAAAGGAAAAACAAAAGAAAAGAATTGGTTTTTTTTTAGATAATGGATTTAACAGGAGGTTCTAGCCAAGGTATAGGTGATGCACATTTAGCATCATTTATTGAACAAGAAAATCAAAAGCAACGTTTTCAATCTGTTGTACATTCTTTAACTGAACAATGTTGGGAATTATGTGGACCAAGTATATCATCAAGACTTGATGGAAAAACTGAAACATGTTTAGCTAATTGTGTTGAACGTTTTATTGATTCAAGTAATTATATTATTAATAAACTTGGTCAAGAAGGTGCTGCTGCATCAATGAAATCAAATGAATTTAGTTCATCAACAGATTTTTCATTAGGTGCACCTGATATGGGTCTTCAAACACCGGAATTTTCAAATGATTATAGTTCATCGACTAATCAACAACAAGAGAAAAAGAGTAGTTGGAAATTTTGGTAGACATTTTGTTATGTTCTTTTTTTTCTCCTGGTTGTTTTTTTTTTCTCCTTAGTATTGGCTGTTCTTTTCTATTTGATTATATACACTTCTAGATGGAGATAGAGGTACATGAATTTCTTCAATAGGATCAGATGATGGAAGTGATTCAGTTATTGTTTCTTCATTGGGTCGAATTCGTCTAATTGAACCACGTTTTTTTAATTGATTAAAAACATTTTCAAATTCATTTGTTATTTGTTTATCATTATTAGATATAANGTTAAAAATTCTCATGTACTTCGTAGGAGTCATTTTCTCATTTCTCTCTTCTTTTATATCTACTGCTCTAGGTAATGGATTTATTATCGAATTGATTATTTATACTGAGTCGCCATTACTATTGTCAAAAAAATAAAATAAGTGGCGACACATTGCATAAAAAACTGACCGGGACCAGTATGAAAAATTTTTAGTCCCGGTCCCGGTCCCGCAAAAAAGTCAAATTTTGGTCCCGGTCCCGGTCCCGGCGGGGCCAGGACCGGGACCACTTTGCAGTTCCCTAGTAAAATCATACCAAATTATATTTGAATTCTGTTCGCGGAGAATTCTACCTGTCCTAATACATATAGGAAATTTTTTTTTTTAATTTGGAAAAAAAGAAACTTCCTGTTTAGCACATTGCTCGAATTGATTCAAATGAAAGAAATAAAAATCATTTCGACTTACTACTAATTTACAACTGAATTCGATCATGTACTATATTCATTTACGTTGCCTGTCTACAATGATCGCTTGTTAATGTATTGTGTATTCTATGACTGTTTAGAATCCTGATTTTTGAATCTGGGTAGCGCCAGTGCATATGATTAGAGGGAGCAGGGTGATTTTCTCTCTTCTAAATTTTTTCTTGCATTCTGCGTTTTTTCATAGGAATTTTCTGTTATGAATAATTAACACCTTTAATTGTTTGATGAAACGAATTGGGTATATAAAAACAAAGTTCTGTTTGCAATTTTTTCAAAGAGAACCTAAGTTAGGTCATATTTTAAAAAGATAGAAGATAAGGCAAATATCAAAAGTATGATTTGATCACTAATATATTTTAAATTCATTTAATAGATACTACCAAATATTATGTGCGACATTCGGCTCAATATTTGAACATGTACTGTTTTTGAATATGATACTTACAACACTTTCGTACGATACCAAAGGCGGTGTATGATAAATTTTTTAGATGAAGTAATAAAATTTTACATAGGCTCATCTTGTTTCTCTCTTCGAATCGTGGAAGAAGAACTTTCTCAATCATAATAAACAAAACACCATAAAACTATTGATACAGATAATTTTTGTATGTAGTAAAAAATATACGTTGCCATTGTTCAGAAGTTTCTTTACAAATTTACTGAAACGAGAAATTGTGACGAAGGAAAAAGTGTTACTCAAAATATATTTTTCTGAAAAAAAAAAACTGATGAATGAATCGTACCTCTGTAATTTTCTTCCTCAATTTTTCCGCATCGAAAACAAAACCAAACGAAAACTTTAGGTAGTGCACATTATACAGAACGATCTATTGATGGATTTTGGCCCAATTTTGAATCACATAAATCTATATGTCGTCCAAAAAGTATTAATAAATCATGTCTTACAGTCTTTTAAAGACTTAGCATTAGAATCCATAATTCGATAAGTGGACTGAAACGCCATCTGTCGAAAAGCATATTTGTCTATTTTTATATAGAATACTCTCGAAATCTTCATATGATTTGTATATCTTCAAAAAGTATTTTATTTTTTTAATCTAATAATTATATATAACCAATACCGAACTAATCAAAACAGCTGATGAACGCGGGTCTTTGTTCAAAAATGTATGTATACATATTTCATCAATTGTTCTCTTTTTTTGTTCAAATTATAATAATTGTTTGTGTAACGATGGCAATAGAACAAAAATGGTGGCCATGGAAGCCATCCCTATATACTCAATATCGTAGTAAATCAAATCGAAAAATTTTTTGTTTATCTAAAAATTTTTCTCAAATTTATTTAGTTCGTATTATAAATGAATTACGTCTTGCTCAACGACATGAACATTGTAAGGAGTTACGTCATCAAATAGATCGTGTTAAACAAGATATTATTGAAATACTTAGACAAATGACACCCATTGATTTTACTCAAATAGATCAAGTTCGTTATATTTCTTTCTTAGAGTTGATTAGAATTATTTTTCCTTTTTTTTTTTTTTTTGTTAGAAATTAAATTCATGTATTACCTTATGTCAAACTGAAGAAAAACATACACTTAAAGAATATTATCGTATTAAAAAGCAATTAATTCATCTAACACCAAAACTTCTTATTGGTAATGCTTATTTACATGCTCGTTGTAATGAACTTTCAATAAAAACACAATCTATAAATAATAAAAAAAAACGAAAACGTTTAAAATTAACTATTGAACAACAATGGAAAAAAGGTATTGGTGATGCATATCGAAAATCACAAATTCAACGAGATAAACAAGATTTATTTAAACATAATCAAACTGTAAATATTTCAATACCTATTGAATCCTTACCTATAATTCATGATTATCCTCTTGATGAACAACCGATTATAACAGAGAATATTATTAATGAAATAAACGAACATGAATTTATACCACCTTGTATGTATCTCTAATTAGAACATAACTATTTTCTATTATTTTTTTGTATGTATCTCTTTAAGTACCACCGACTTTAATTGATGAACCAATTATTCCATTTCAAACACCACCAATTTCGTAAATAAATTCAATAGAAATTTTCATAGAAACTTTGTTATTATTCTTTAGACGTCGATTAACGCCATCGGATCCATTTCAATTAGCTGTTGATGATACGATTGTGAAACCACATCGTTTGATTAATAAAACATTAGGAAATATTAGTCATATGTCATTTGTATGTTATATACAATATATTTTTTTTTTCTTGTATCTTTTTTTTTTTGCTTTCGTTTTTTGAAGCATATTGAACCTGATCAATGTTCATCACCGAAACCAGACGAGAAAAAAAAGAAAACAAAATTAAAAAAATTAATGTTACCACTACCACCACCACCACCTCCGCCACCATTATTTAGTTCAACAGCTATTTTTGATACACATGCTTTTTTTACACAAACAAATACGAAAACAAAAAAACAAAAGAAAAAAATTGATATTGCACGTCAACCTATTATAATGACAATTAATGATACACGAAAGAAAAGAACTAGAACAAAAAAATCTTCTCCTTACGATTTTCAAGATGATGATATTAGTACATCATCACGGTCGAAAGGTGAGAAATGAATATCCAAAAAAAATTGTCTATTTTTCTTATATGAATTTCTAAATATGAAAACTTACAAACATTTTTCGATACCTGGAATCTAAACAAGGAAAAACCTATGAAGACATTTTTTTTTAGTAATGTTTATCAATTCCCTTATGAGTCTATGTAGGAGGAAAAAAAAGCAATTTTAATATTAATAATTGAATTTATAAGAGAACTAACCATATGTTCGCTTACAACATTTATAGAAAAAAGGTTAAAGTCGTTTCTCGTGAACTTTCTATTTCACAGGGTTGACGATGTTCTTTTATCGATATATTCATGAGATATAAGAGTATCTTGCCTTCAACTATTTAGTTCAGAATTACTTCTTTTCATACGAGAGCGAAACAAAAACTTCCTCAGAGTTGGAACCGGATCGGACAAGACCGGATGAAAAATTAAATCGGCCCGAACGAAACCGGATTTTTGCCAGTTCATAATATTGAAATTAATCCTTGTATTTCAAAGTTTTCTCCGATGACAACAACTTTTATTCGCTTTTTTTGCGTTGAAATATTATGTCAGCGATTATGTTTAAATAAATCTTGTTTATNGAGATGATTAATCGAAAAACAAGTCAAGGGTACATTTATTTCTAATAATTTTTTTTGTTTCTTATCATTGTTTTTTGTTATACACTTCTTTTTTTAGTCATACGATGGGCTTAATGTATTGGCAAATAAATGATATTTGGCAAGCACCAACATGGGCAACAATTGAATATGGATTGAAATGGAAAATGGGTCATTATTATGTTGGTCATATGTATGCACCTATTTATCCTATCGCTATTCTTACACCTTATTTAGCTAATGTAACAGATGAAAATGCTCAAGTTTCATTTTATATTATTAATGAACTATTAAATAATACACGTGCTACCTTAATATGTTCATTTTATACATTAGATACATTCGCTCCTCGTTTATCATTTGGAAGTGATATTTCATTTAATTCACCTGGTATACAAAATATTATGAATTTTCCTTATTCAAGATTAATGAGACGTGCTGATTGTGAACAAAGTTCTCAATGTATAATTCATTGTTCATTAAATTATAATCAACATCAAATAGGACAAACATTATTTTTAAGTCGACCAAAAAATTATCAATTATCAAATCCTAATCTTCAAATTAAAAGTACTCCAATATCATTAACAGATTTTAATATAACAGTTACCGCTGATCGACCAGCTTTATTTGTATGGCTTGATACGACAGCTAATGTAACTGGTTATTTTTCACGTAATGGATTTCATATGTTTCAACCAAGTATGACTATTACTTTTCATTCATGGACACCAATTGAAGATTTTGACAAAGCTAATTTTGATATAAGTTATACTTCATTGTTTGATGTTACATTACCATGATTTGTTTTTTTTTTTTACTTCTTTTTGAAGAAATAAATAAAATGTAGAAGTATAGAATTTTTATTTCTATTTTATTAGATCTGATTTCTAAAAAAAAAATGTCTTCTGACCAATTGAGTCTTGCTGATTCAATTAAAAAAGTACATCAACAATTACGTCGCGATATAAATCAAAGTATGAATTATGATATAAAACTAAACAAATCTATTATTTTATTATTAGCACCAGAAGCTGCTGAATCGATCTGGAATGCTCATGTAGCTAATATAGATAAATTGAATGAATATGCAAAATCAATGCGTCAACTTGCTGAACATCATTGGGCAGAAAAAGCTCATGGTCAAACACGTTTGACATGGTGTTATGAAACTATAAAAGATTATTTTCATGGAAATGAAATAAGTGGTCTCGAAAGAAAACGTGCTCGAGATAAACGAAAACAGATTGATATAGATATTTGTGAGAGTTGTCAGACAAGAATTCAGTAGGATAATTATAATATTAACAATATGAATTGTTATTATTTTTGTTTTTTATTTTATTTAAGACAAGAAATTACGAGACCACGTGTACTCGATGTTGGGTTAAGGCTAAAATTTATCTAAATTTATATAAAGTTTTTTTTTATATTATCTTATATAGGAGTTGTTATAATGCATTTTCTTGTTTTAATGATCTCGAAACAATAGCCATTGATATTGCACCAGCCGATGAAGTAAGTTTAATATTAGCTTTTTTTCTGTTTTTGAAATTATAAAATTCTACATCAGATTAATTTAGTCAGTATATCGTATTGATTTTTTACGTCTTCCACAACCACCTTTAATATGTATTCATTCATTTGATGTTATTATTTTTTCACTTGTTCTTGATTATTTACCAACATGTCGTCAACGTCTTTCTGCATGTCTTATAGCTCATCAACTTTTAACTTGTCTTGGTTTATTACTTATTGTAGAACCTGATTCAACTTTACGTGAAAATCGACAAAAATCTTGGCGACAAGCTCTTAATTCAATTGGTTATTCTTTAGTATCATATGTTAAAGTAACAAATTTATATTGTATGGCTTTTCGAAAACTAATTGAACAAATAACAATAAATGAAGATGAATATGAAAAAATATCTCAATTATTTAACATTCCTCAAGATAATATTCGTATTGATGATGAATCACAAAAAATTGAACAAAAATCAATTCTTGTAGATCAAGATTTATTTAATGAACTACCATATTCATTTGATTAGAAAATAATAAATTATTTCTCATGTGTTAAAAGAAAAAATTTGAATGTAAAAGTAAAATATGATCTTCCTGAAAATTATAGAGATATTTTTTTTTTATTTCGAATTTAAAATTTAAAAAAAAAATGATTCTTCAATATTTAACGTCTCGAACCACAATGAGCACAATATCTTGCTGAAGAATTATTGAATATATTACCACATTCACCACATTGAATAGCTGTTGGTGGTGGTGGTCGTCCAACAGCTGTTGGTCTCATAGAATTATGTTGACTATTGCGATACTGATATCTTGTTTCACCATATGAAGAAGGAGCAGGTTTTGTTGGTGATGCTCGACGTCTATATGAACTAACTTCATCATTTCGTTGACGAGCACGTACATTTAAACTTGTATTATCTTGTGTGCGTCCCGTACGCATAAGCACCGGTTGTTGAACAGAATGACGATTCGATGGTTGATAATAATCGTCATCCTTATTATAAAAAAATTCATAAAAATGATGTTTTTCTTTTCTTTTTAATTTAGTAGAATAACTTACTTCAGGTGCATAATAATTAGATGGAGGCGGTCGTTCCGGTTGAGAATCGAAACCAAATAATTTTCGCAAGCTCCAACTACTACCACTACCACCAGCAGGGATTTTACGTGGTGGTGGTGGTGGTGGCGGTGGTAATGGTTGTTTTTGATAACTAGAATATTAAAATTCAAAAAAAAAACACAAATTGTTTGATAAGCCTACTCATGTGGATTTCGTCGAACAGCCATAGGAGCTGAATTGCTATGTTTGTATCCATTACTATAAACATCATGTGAATCTGAATATGCACTTGTACTATATGACTGTTGTTGTCGATATTGAGGTGGCTTTTGTGGTGAAAGTGTTCTTCCCTATAAGACAAAGTTTTCAATGCATATATTTTTTCGATGAACATTAATTTTACCCTGTCATATTGCTGAGTTGGTCTAGAAGGTTGCACTTGTGTTCGTCCGTGTTGTGTTTGGCAACTAAATAAATATGTATATATATTTCTATGACGATAAAAAAAAATCATTATTATTATTACAATGGTATATGTCGTTGAGCAACATGTTGATTGAAATTGCGATGACAATATGGGCAATTAACATAGTCTTAATGAATAATATATAACAATGAAAAAAGAAAAGAATAATATTAATTAACCTGATGGAACTTCACTTGGCCGAAAAGCAGGTAACGGTCCTCCTTGCTTCATAGCACGAGTCACGGAACGAGCTTCTCGAATAGATTGAATCAATTGTCTATGTTTTTCTCTCCAATTTGGTTTCGATCCATAGTTTGACTGTAGTTTTTAACAAGATACAACATTAACTATTCTTTTATTCTTACCCGATCATCCTGAACTCGAGCATCGCCATTATAAACCTAATATGCCAAATATAGAATGTTGACAATAGTAAAAAAAAAAAAAAACGAAAGAAAACTTTTACCTGTGCCGTTCTTCTTGTTGCTTTGTATGGCACATCAGAATCAGTAGCTCGTTGTTTACCTGCATCAAATATTTTTCGTTTTTTATTTGCAACTTTTCGACAAATAGCCTGATGTTTATTCTATGATTAAAAAATAAAAATGAATATTTGAATTATTTTATGATTCTATTGAAATTTCTATAGAATAGAAATAAAATCTTGAATATGAACAAAATAAAATTCAATCATTCTTGCTACTATGGGATACGTATTGAATATTTGAATAAATAATAATATTTCTTATTCTCACCAATGACTCTACATTAAATTGACGTCCACAAAATTGACATGGTTGTAAACGTACTCGACGTATAGGATATTCTATCCAGTAAATATAACCCGTACGATATAGATTTATTTCATATTCAATTCTTTACCTGTCAGATCATCATCCATTTTTTAAAATGAAATATATAGATGTGACTGATTTTTGCTATGACACGCATATGCATGAAGTAAAAAAGAAAAAGTGATCGACCAAAAAGAAAAAAACTTCTTCTATGGCAACAATAACATCAAAATGACAGAACAGATCGAAAGTTATTTCTGCCCATTTTTTTTTGTCGTTAAAAGAAAGCGGACAAAACGGTGCCGATTAAAATTTTGGCACAAAAAAAAAAAAACTTAAATGCAAGAAAATCGTCATTGATGAAGTGTTTATTCGTTTAGATTTATATATTGACTCATTGAACATAAAAGATCATATGAAATGGAAATACTTGATTATAAACAATTTTTTTTAGCTAAAATTTTTCTTTTTTCTCTTTTATTAATTTTAATAAATGATCGATGTCGATTATTTTATTTCATTAAATATCCTCATGGGATATTTAATAGAATTTGACATGAAAAATAAATTCTTGATGTACTTAACAGAACTTTTTATGAAGATATCTTCAGATTTTTGTGTATTATCAAATAACTTACGATAATTTTATTCTGTAGCAAGTAATAAAAATTATATTTTTGAAATTTTCTTATCAACATTTCGATTATTTTGTTTTTTCTTTACCAGATTCTAAAAACTTCAATCAAACAAACAAATTTATTCATTCAAAAAACACAAAAACAAAAGAAAAATAATTATCAACAATCATTACATAATCAAACATTTTAAAAGACATTGATCTAATATTATATTCTCTATTCTTTTCTATGATTATGTTATATAAAGAAAATATAAAAATACCCATGAGATTACAATTATTATCAATCAATAAATAAATTCTAAAATATTTTATTATCGTCGAATAATTAGACGTAAAAGGTAGAAGACATTGAATCTAGTGTTAATATAATATAGTCAGAACACTAAATCAAAGGTCTTCCAAATGAACGTCATTTTATTAGAACTAAAAATAAAACTATTGACTTACGTTTAAATCATATAAGTAAGTTTATTTTCTTATCATTATTCCCATGAGAAAGACGTTAATGATGCTGATTGAGACTCAACAGCAGCTTGTTACCGAGAGTGAAATATATGTATGTGTGGAAAAGAAAAAGAGAGAAAGAAAAGGTAGAATTTATGCAAATTTTCATCTTTCTAAACTAACTCGTCATTAATCATTACTGATGGTGGTTGAACCGACAGCAGAGCAATTTAATAAAAAAGAAATAGTCAGTATTGTCACGGCTGAATCGAGTTTATCTTCATTTCTTTTTTTTTGCATATGCACATTCATATAATTAACTCGTGTTTTTTTTTCACTTACTTGAAATGAAAAAAGTGTTCAACTATAAAAAAAAGAAATATGTTGGAAAAAAATCTTTTTTCTTATTATTCGTTTGTTTCTAACCGTCATATATAACATGATAATCGTGCTGTGTAAAGTTCATCATCAATACTCGTCTTCGTTTTCTTTTCTTTCTTCTTTTTTTTCTTCTTTTTTGTGTCGTTTTTTTTCCCTTTGCTCTAGTGAACGATGACGGGAACCAAGCGTTTCACTCTTCTTTCTTCTCATTCTTTCTTACGGCTTCTTCTTAGTGTGTGAGTCTAATCTTTATTCTGAACACATTTTTTTCTTCTTTTCTTCTTATATCTTTACTTTCATATAGATACTCACGTTGACAAGATGCATTCAAATCTCCAAACTATTTAGTGATGTGTTCAACTAATATAAATAAATAAACTTACTCGCTTTTATTCGAATGACTACATCTACTTCATTTTGTTCCTCTTAAATGAATGAATTTGACATACATTCTATATCTAGTCTATTATTCTCACTTTTTTTTTTCTCTCATTTTTCTATGTCTTAAAAAATGTGAGAGAGTATCTACCCAACAGTGACACGTATTCAACAGTTAAAACAAGAGAGCGATGGATGGTTAGTCTATGGTAGAATGTCGACGACGAGGAGAGAAAAACTTTTTTCCCTAGTGCATAAAATGAGAATATGACACTGTAGTAAAAAAAAAAGAAAAGGTGAAAGAGAGAGAGGGAGAGAGAGAGAGAGTAAGCGTCTTCTTTGTTTTATAAAGAGAAAAAAGTGAGAAGTGAAATGAGATCAAATGAAATCCATCTATATGTTGTCATATGTTTGGATAAATAGACTAGTCTGCCTACTTTTGTTAATAATTGATCGTTGTCACTAACAGGTGTATGAACATTCATTTTGTCGTTCTGTCATGTTTGTTGTCAAATTTTACATGAATTATAATTCTTATCACTATTTCTGTTTTTTCCTTCTTTCAACTCCGAGAATATAAAAGAGACATATGCCCACAGCTGGTTATCTTTATCTCTAAGTTTTTCTTTTATCAATAAAAGCTTTAACGGAACTAACTTTAAATATCACATTTAGCTTGTTATTTGAAATATAATAACGTTAAAATGACAGATAGATTGAATAAATGTTGTCATCCGTCTGTGTGTGTGTGTGTTTTTTTTATTCATCTATTTACCCAAACATCTGTCCATGTATGTAACTTTAATATACGTTCATTTTATTCCTGCAAACAAACATAAATAGATACAAAAAAAAAAAGAAATTTGAATTACAAAAAAATGCATTGATAAAAGAAAAAAAGATTAAAAAACTAAAATTGAATAGATTTATTTGTTTATTTTAAAATCATTAACTTTTTATCCTTATTTTTTCAACAAAAATGGAATCAATTATAACCACTAGTGGAACTGTTGCCAAGTGTCGGATACATTGTAGTAGTTCCATACGATGGATTAGTATTATTATTGTTATTATTATTAGTGTTAGTAATTAAATGACGTTTGCTTGGTGGTATAAGATGATCAGGCAATGTATTTGGTAATTCATGACCATCTATTTTAACTTTAACTAAAAAAAAAAAAGATTAGATATTCATCGTTCTTAAAATCAATTAAATATTTTATGTAAAGAAATTGCATTTCAATATCGAACAGTGTACGTGTTCCATTCTATGATTGATTTATAAACCTGACGTGCTGTTTGTTTGTGTGATATATGATAGTTAAAGAGAGTTAGACATTCTGACTTTGTTCCAGACAGACATGCTTATAAAAAAAAAAAGAAAAAGGAAACAGGAGATGAATTGTTTTCTATTCACTTTCTTTTTACGCTTCGTCACATTTAACAATTAACTCTTCTTTTCACTGCAAGTATTAGACACCTGTAAGCTGGAAAAGATATTTACTAAAATCTTGTCGTTTTAAATAAAACAAGCTGCTTTCAATACATAATAATAATATATAAGAATTAGTACTCATGCAAATTTCTAAGTAGAATTCATCATAGACATTTCTATTATTTTACAAGATTAACATGAAGTCTATGATAAATGCAATAAAATCGAATACGATTATCTAATACTTACCAAGATGTTGAGATAGAGCCCATTCATCAATGTCAAGCATTCCATCTCTATCAATATCACTTAATTTCCATATACGGCCAAGTACATTATTTGGCTATAAAAATAAAATAAAAACTTCTTTTTTTTTTTGATATATATATAAAACTTACTAGCTTTGATTTAATCATTTCTTGCTTAGCTGATGCCCCACTAATTTTTCCATTTTGTGGTGAAAGTTGCATAAATACTTGATCATATTCATGTCTTGATCGTTCAACAATCCAATCATGTTCACCGATGCCAGCATTAATACCTTCGACACCGTCTATTGCAAATGGTGTTTCTTGTTGATCACTAAATATTGTATTTCCTGATGATATTTGTCCAGTTGATGACGGAGAATGTAATTGTAAATAAGCATGTTCTTCTTGTGGTATCATACCCATTAATCTTGGTACATCTTCGGATAACATTTTATCTACACGTTCAAGTAATTTTCGATCAAGTGGTCGAAATCTTGTAAAATCCTAAACGAAGAAAAAATTGAATTAAATTAAAAAAACAAATCAATTTCAAAACGAACCATATTACGTAATATATCTTGCATACGATCTAATTTTGGAAAATCACCTAATGGAATATTTTGTTCGCGTTCAATTTTTTCATAAATTAAATGTAAATTCTAAAAGATTTTTTGTTTTTTTAGATTTAATATATGTTTAGGAACAAAAGAATATTACATTGAGTAATTCTCGACGTTTTGAATCTTTACCAAATACACTTGGCATTTGTTCTTTTAATTCACTGATAATTAATGCATGTACCTATGATTTAATAAATAAATAAATATATATATATTTAGTATTTCGAAATAATAATTCATTACTCTAGCCAATCGTGCTCGTTTAATTAAATCATTTAATTTTCGAAGAGTTGCTGTTCTTGGTAAAGATTCTGAAAAAGATGAAACAAACTTTATTTGTTTTTTTTTTTTTTCTATATTTATTTTGAGTAAAATTATTTTCAGATTCAAATTTTTAATGATGAAAGAAAACAAACTTATAGACTATTAATCTACTTATTAACCGAGCTTATAATCGAGTCTTCAAAAATTTCTCAATTCAAGCATGAAAATGACAATCCATGAATAATCAATCTAATAGAATAGTCTTCTGACATACAGTTTTATTTTGTTCATAATAATCAAAGTTAATTATAATTACTCTTTTTTTATTCAGTTGTACAATTATAGTTATAATTAGAAGTATGTAACACATTTTCAGTACAGTAAATTGAGGTGTTCAGTAAGTTTATTTCATATGAAAGAAAAGAAGATAAGAATACTACGTCATTTGCCTTAATAAAGTCAGTTCCCATTTGTAAGACGAGACAGGGAAACGCAATATCTAATTGAATGAAGTATATATGTTTTTTTTTTCAGTATTACTTTATCATGAATGAAATAAAATTACTTCGATTGATAGATCTGTCTTTCTTTGAATATACTTGATCTTTGTTTTCGAAAAATCTGAGTACGCAAAAGAGTAATTTTAGAGTTTGCTGAAAGAAATGTGCAGGCAAGCGTTTTTCACATCATTGCT